TGTTTAATGACACCTTGACTATTTCCTCTTTTTCAATGTCTCTAGGAGATGTAAATGCATTTTGTTCTATAAGATACATATTTTAATAGATCATGTCAGTGTTTATATAAAAAACTGCTCTTCTAGGTTAATGGTTTTCATTCCCATTTTTGTGTGTGTGTGTGTGTTTCTGCTTTGTAATAGAAGAATTGTTCATAACCAAAGAGCTCAGTCATTAAAAATATATAACATGCACTGACTAATTTTAAGACCTGTGTGTAGAAATATGTAACTGGGTGCTAACATACAGGAACATACCAAGAGGAGCCGACACGCAACCAAATTCAACTTACAAAAAAAGTTTTGAGGTTTAAAGTTCAGACAGTTCTTGACCCATAGTGGAAGTATGTAGCAGTAAATCTGTATCTCCTACAACTTCCTTCCCATTCTACATGATGCTGATTGTGTCAGAAGAGACACAGTCAAGTGTCCTCCCACCTACTCATCAGATGGCTGTGCCATCAAGGGATCATGGTGTTCACTGGAGAGAGGATCCTCCCTGCACACATGGGAGGTGAGGAAAACACTTTCCCATCTGGTTGCATGAAGTCACTTGCAAAGGAGATCTGAATCCAGAGAAAGTGGAAATTAGGCTAACATGTGGATGGCAGATATTTTGTTGCCTTAATTCCTAGGTCCAGTATATTTTCATTTATCATTCTCTGCAACTTTGTAAATTTGAATCTAATATTGCTTTTAATTGTTGACAAGAAAACTTTGCCATAAACTCATTATGCAAATCAAGCCGTAATTGTTAGTTACAAGGTTAGATGAGTTCCTTCCCTTCATAAAATCAAATTATATATGCAAGAAAAATATGGACAGGTCTTACCTATTCTATCCATCTTGATCTCTGTGCATTTAAACAACAGCTCCATAGGGAAAGGTCCAAGTTAAGGACACAACAGTAGCAACTAATATAGTAAAGAATCAATACAATATTTCTTAAAATGATCTGTGAGAAAAACAATAAAGTTGTTAACCTATTCCAGTATGTGCAGTTTTCAGAAATGTCTTCCTAGGTCACTGAAAAAGCAAATGTTTGGAGTAGGTTCAAAACTGAACTTTCACATAGGAATATTACCCTGTAAAAAGGGAAGGATAGAATATACTGCCACACATAATGTTACAGACACACTTCTAGTAAATAAACCTCCATCTGGAGCTCCACATTTAGGAACTGGATACTGAACTTTGAAAGAATAAATTGCATTTACTTTTAAATATTTTCACAGACATTTTTCACACTGATATAAGAATTATGTAAACAGCTGCTAAAATAAATCACCAGTATTTAGGTTGCAAGCTGTCTGGAGTACACACTGTCTTTAACTTTATGGTTGAGAGAACCCTATGCTGTGCACCCTGTCACACGGCCCCCCTCATTACCTACTTCAACTGCAGCACTCAGTGGAAATGGGGATCTCAGTGCACAGATCCTTAAAATGCTTACATACATTTTAAGATATTACACCTGACAGAAGACCTTGTACATTAATTAAAGATAGCAAAGTCCAACAGAAATTCAGATTTCCATTGTACAGTCAGAGAAATAATGCTCCAGAGGCTAGCTAAATAATTAGGTCAAGGATTCCTTGACCCGTGTCACAAAATCATTTATCCAACCATAAATCCAGATAAGCTTTTGTATTGTGATTCTTGGTACAAATTGTGACGGGGAACAGAAGATACACTACTTCAGTGCATCTGTGTACAGTTTCTCTTTTCATTCAAAGTCATATTCAAAGATTACCATCAAGAAATTAATTCTGGGGCTGACCAGAGTTAGATTCACAAAATACCTGCTTGACTCTTTAGCCAAACATTTAAAGCAGCATTTGAACATTCAGTTCTTAAAATAAACCTTTCTTCCACTGCTGAACTTAGTAAGGTGATGTGGAGTACATGTACAACCATCTAAATAGTAATGAATGGTTGATTACTTGGTCATAAAAGAATTGAAAAAGGCACTGTACTTACATCTCTCTCTCAGGAGTTCACATCAGTAAACAGCAGCACATGAAATAATCATTCTAAATTCTCCTCTCCTTAATAGCTGTGGCAGTCCTTACTGCTTCACAGGTTTAATTCAGCTGTTGCATGACCATCATTATTTCCAAACAAGGAGATCACATCTCCACCCCTCTTGATGGGATTTTTCATTTTGTGAAATCTATGTAAATCTTTCTGAGTAGAAGCTGGAATGCCACATGTCCCATCCCCCCAGGTGAAGAAAATCCATTATTGGCCTCCCAGTGTTTGGGCTCTCACTTCAAGCATGACACTGAGGATGAATGAAACGTGACAGTCACAGAGGGATTTATTTTAACAGCTCCTTTTACATCCAAGTTCCATGACAGACTCTAAGGAATAACTTAAAGAACCAAAATGAGGGTCAAGGCAGAGAGAAGCCTACAGAGAACCAACAGGAAATATCAAGCACAGGGACTTTGATGGAATTCACCCTATCCAAAAATGACACACGGTGTTTCTGTACCACTCAGATTCTTAGAAAGCCTGCCTGTATCACATGAAGAACTCCCAGTAGCTAGTACCTCCAGAGAGGTGTATTGCACTGCACGGATGTGTCTACTCAGGTCCCAAGACAGTGCAATCAAATTAATGTAGAACATGGATCTAGTTAATAAGTCCTGCCCTTCAGCAGACAAATATCAAATTAGCAGTGTTATAGTGTGAGCATAAGACATTAATAGGGTTATATAATTTGGCAATCTCCACTTTGCATCCCATTCTGAAGTATACATGTGCTAAATCTCACCTGGTGTACTTTTAAAAAAATATTAATATCTCTGACACTTCAGCAAACACTCCCATCCTATTGCCCACAGAACACTTTAAGAACAAGCACACTTTATTTTAAAGCCTTGGGACCTTACTTCAGGAAATTGTCTCAATACAAATACACTTTGCTGAGTGTAAATTCAAAGCTTGGAGCAAGGCCCATCGGGTAATGAACCTCAGAGGCTATTAATCCACAACCTACAATTTGTGAATGTGCAGGATACTGACTCAGTAGAAAAAAATAATTTTAAACATCTGTGGTATTCTTTCAATTCCAGATTAATTACACTGCTCAGATTGTAATGTTAGCCAGAAATTTCAAGTCTCTCCACTGCTATGTAGAGAATGCTGCAGTTTCCTTTGTGTTTATCACTGCTCTGCTACAGTAGGAGGCTTCTTGTCCAACACAAGCTTATGTTCAGTTCTGTGTCCTACATTTATTCCAGAGCTCACCTTGCCTGCCTTTTCTTTCTCTCTTTGTCTGAAGTCCTTCTGAAACTCTTTGTTACACAGCACTAATTATTATTATTACTACTTTTAAGACAAAGGCTGTGTACATACCCCCACATCACTCCATCAAAATGGTGATATAAATTAAAATCCAAACAGGCTGTTTAATCCTTTTGAGAAGCTAATAATTATTTTCAATCAGCAAAGACTATTCTGCCATTCCAAAGAATGATTAATGAGAGCAAATGTGTTTGTAATTTATTAGCAGCAGCTTGGGGTGTGGGGGGAACAACTTAGGAATGGCAGCCATAGCATCAACATCTGATGATGTGAAGGCACTTCTGTTGCATATTATAAAGTCAAACATAAGGCTGCCTCTTTGGTGATTTATACTCTGCACAGTGATACCGAATGCCTGGGTTTTTTTTCATTAATGGCTTTGCAGTTTTTGTGGGTTTTTTGGTAGAACTGTCATGGAAAAAAAAAGAAATCAACAAGTATGTACCTCTTCCACAACACTCACCCATCAGTATTCATCAACATATGTTTCTCAAAGAACAGAAGTATATCGCAATAAAACAGGAGGGAAAAGGCAAACAAGCAGAAGGAAAGCAGAGGATTGACTGGACTGAGATAGGAGGAGCATTAAATCCTTCTATCACAGTACCTGGTGAAATAGCTTTATGTCCTGCACACAGTATAGTGTCTGAGAACTCTGTAGACTTGAATATGTAATTTCATTTCCACAACATCCTTGCAAGAATGGAGTATATCCATGTCAAAAACAGGAAATTGAGAGAAGGCAGGGCTGAAAATTCTTTAAACCACATTATGTTCTTATCTGTTCACTTAGTTGCCTAAATACTGCTGGAAACTTACTCTTGAGGTTAGACCCCTGCACAAGAGGACTTTGACAATTAAGTGGGACTTTATGTGCCTGGATAACCTACCTGACAGTAGCCAGACTCAGCTTTCATTTTTTCCTGAAAGTACCTTGCTTCTCAAGCATGGAGCTTTCCCCTAGTCTAAACTGCAATGAAACTTAGAAACTAGAAAGGCAATTCCTATGTCTAAATCACCAAAGCATTGCAATTCTCAAATAAAGTAATACATGCAGTACATCTAAAGGTACAATAATCCAGCCTGGGCTGTTTCACACATATTCTACTTGTTGTAGGGGCAAGAAGAATGTCTGCAAATGCAGAAAATCCTCAAAATTCAAAACAACAACATTTTTGCATGCAGAAATATATCTGTGGGAATATTCAAGTTGATACAAAACCACCTCTGAATGGATAGCATATTCCTCCCAAACAAGTGATAGGACCAAGCTGGAACTATCTGAAACCCCTATCGCTTGCCTCCCTCCCAGGAGGGTGTTTCTTTGATAGCTGGGATCAGTAGCAGCACCATCTGCCCCTTCTTTTGATGTCATGTCACTAACCAGAAAAAAAAAAAATAAAACTGAAAGAACCAAAAGGAAAAATTAAGTGCAGCATCACAGCATCTCTCTTCTCCCTTCTAGTGGCCCCAAAATCTTGTTTTTCTTCTTTGTCTTTACCTTTGTATTAATGTAGAGGGATGAGAGGGAAAGCAATCATGACCCATTTTATAAATAAGCAATTATTCCTGACAATTTAGTGCTTGAGGGACCCCATCTGGAGCACTGTGTCTTGTTTGAAGTTCCCTAGGACAAAATGGATACTTACAAACAGAAAAGTTCCATCACTCTGGTGAAGCACATGACATAGGACAAGAAGCTGAGGAAACTGGATTTGTTCAACCTAGATAAAAGGCATAAGGAGAGTCTAGTTTCTATTTTCAGCTTCCTAAACAAACAGGGTAAAAGATACAGAGAGAAGTCAGAGACAGGTTCTTCTCAGCAGCGCACAGCAAAAGACCAAGACGCAATTCTCAAAACTTACATCACGGGAGACTGAAATGACATGCAAAAGGGAAAAAAAAAAAAAAAACAACAAAACATAAGAAGAATAGGCAGAAAAAGGAACAGGCTCACAAAGAGGTCATGAGACTTCCATTCTTGGTAATATTCAAAGTTTTCCTGGACACGATCCTAAGCAATTTTACCAAATGTTAGCATCACTTTGAGGAGTGGAGGGTTGACCAGATAACTTCTAAAGATGCCCTCTGTCCTAGCTCATTCAATGACTCAGCACAGACTTTCTTATAATATGATAATTAGGAAGATGCAAGTTTGAAGTGATGCAAAAATAAGGAGGATATGACACACAGGATTACCTTTGGTGCTCAACTTTACATCCGCATTTTGAGGAAGCAAAGCCTTAGCTGATGAGATGTTGTCCAACTTACGCAACAGTTCCTGCACAAAGGAGAAATGAACGACAAATCACAAAGTTTTCTGAGCAACCAGAAAAAAATTAAGATAAATAATTCCAAAGAAGTTCCCCATGCAAACTTGGCAGTTTCTGTTCAAGGCAGACATAACCCATATAGGCACTGAATGTGGCAGCATTACAGGAATAACACCTTCCTAAGAACGGACTAGTCTTATAGTATTTTGCCTGTATGTCAGACACAGATACACTTCCTTCACATCAACTATCAAGTGGCATTCATGACTTCTTGTTTCACCTCATTCTTACTTAACCAATGTATTTGCATTGAACAACACAAGCAAAAAAAAACCTTGGGGGAGGTTTTTGTATGGCAAGCTATGAATCATATTTTTTGGCCCTTCTTTTATAATCAGAGGGTACTGGCCACAGCTGGAAGCAGAGCACAGCTCCATTCAGATCAACGGTCTGCTCTGATATGACAAATTCTGTGTTTTCATTCTGTTCCCTTTGATGTCTCTCTCTCCTCAAGTCTCATCTTGTTTTCATTCTATACATTGTATTTGGTGAATTAGACTACAAAGTCTTGCAGAAGACATTGGTTTGAACAAGACTTCAAAAAATGGCTTAGTGCATCTGGATACCTCCAGTTGTCTGACACTTTAATATAACTGGATTTTTACAAAATGATGGACACCTGCTCTCTGAAAATCAGAATCCTCTTAAGCTGTATGAAGATATGCACCACAGAAGTGACACACCTGAAACTAATAGACACTTTTGAAAAATCCTGTGCCTTTACTGTGATTGATAGAGAACTGTGTGCATTTACAGCATCCTTTTAAGAAAGAGCCACATGTCTGGATCAAGGGTAACAGCCCCATCAGTTTCATATGCAACAACCTATCGTAGTGCACCACTATGTTAATCCATTCTGAATAAATGAGAAGAGTGCTAAATTTTTAATGAACAGTGTTTCCACCTGTCGCAAAATAATGAAAGAATGTAAAGCTGTTCTTAGAACTTTACAGACAGCAAGAGTAATTAGATGGTATTGGCACCTATAACCTTAGACTGATCACACGATCACATTTTGTGCAGAAAGAGGAATTTTTTTTAATGGATCAATTTTCCTAAAAGGAAATTATTCCTTGATGATAAGGAAATGATTACTCAGGGCTGCAGCATGAGGGAAAATAAAGTTCTGTTCCACAGATCATTCTGTACTCCCGCTGTTCTATAAGAATACTAGGGTCCTATGGTCAAGGGACAAAGACCTACAAAACCAGTACATGGGCTCACACTCACTTCCCACCTAAGAGAAAACCTCAGCCACAAAAGAAAGTGAATGTCCAAAGAATTGCCATCTGAAACTCTCCACCTTATAATATGAAGTTCTGGAATGTTTTTCCTACTCATTGCTGTTACACTGGCAGGGAGATGACAGGCAGTACAGAAGCAAGAGCTTCATGCCCACCTTGGCAAAAGCAGACTATCCATTAACAAACCTCTTGTTCTGCTTTATCATTTGAAACAGCTTGTGTGCATTATGGATGAAATGGTATCTCTTTGCTAACAGATAAAGTAGAGCATCCAGTCTATGACAGGACACTTGTATGCTTCTCTCATCAAGTCAAAATAGTGTCAAATTTCTTTTGTCTGTGTTTTAAATGCAGCTTCCTCCTCCAAGAACATTTTCAAGAACACTGATCATGTAACTCACACCAGATTGTGGCACTAGGCTATGCAACTTACATTTATGAAGCAGAATGATTGTTCATCGTCCTCCTACCTAATGAAATCAACTACATGAATAAATCCAATGCTAATTAAGAATACTATTTATCAGAGTATGGATTACAAAAAGACAGAATTTCCAGTTGACTGAGTTGTGAGAAAAGAACTACCTTGCAGGTCAGCAGGTGGCCTGGGGCTGCTTAACTGATCCTGCTGAGCTGCTGTGGATGCTGAAGTTTGAGGACCTGCTGGCAGCACCAGCACTGCTCATAAAATGTGGCTCTCTGGCTGCTGAACAGACCAGACAGAATTCTTCAGATGTGAATTAAAAACAAAGTTCTTACTCTACATACTCATAATGCTTAACTGAAAATGCAGTGCAGTATTTCAGTGGTAGAAAAATTAAGTTATGAGGGGATGTACTGAATTTGGTTCTATGTATCACTCAGAACAGGTTTGTCCTGGTTGTTAGGAACACAAGAAGGAACATAAATGAGCTTATCAGAGAGGTTGAAGTTATATTGTAGAAAAAAAATCACTATAAAAAGTGGGAGAGTACTGAAAGCAAGATGCGCGAATGAAATGGAGACTGATTTTAGTGAGTTATGTAGGGCATATATAAGAAGAATCACTGAGAAAAAAATGTGCAAAGGGCATGGCAGTGCAAAATAATATGATGTAGGAATACTGAAAACTCAACTAGCAGAGACCTTGACAGAGGACATAAGAATGTCTGATGATCTGAAATAGATTTTTACAAAGGCCAGCATTAAAATAAGTAGATAATGAATATGTCCTAAAATACGGTTTCAGTGTACTGGAGAATAAGAGAGAAAAATGGTGGTATAGCATCTGCTATCATCATGGTCAAAAAAAAAAAAAAAAAAAA